ACAGTTAATTCGAACTAAGGAGTTAGTTCGAATTAACGTTTAACTGCCGCGTCTAGCCGCGGGCAGTTAGTTCAGACTAAGGGGGATTTAAAAATGGCGGTGTCCGGGAACATGCAAATGAAGCCCGGGATATTTAAATCCCGGGCTTCATTTGCAACTCTGGTTGCCCTCATTTGCCCACCTAGCTCGAACTAACGAGCTAGCGTAGACATACCTTAAAAGTCTTATGTAACTATCTAACTACTGAAGAAAGAAAAAAAATTTTAAATGACAAATGAAGGTATTGAGTAACTAACAATTAATTATTAATTATAATGCTATGAACTATTAACAAGATTGAACACTCTCATGAATGAGGAAAAGGGTGAGAAGACCAGTTCACTCCGTTTGCAGCCTGAGGCTATTGAGAGGAACTGGCAGAAGTCGGACCGTGCACGTGTGCAAAAGAGCGCAAATGCCGCAAGATGCTCACTGCGCATGTGCAGTCTGGCTGTTTACCTCTATGGAAAAGTCTCTGATCTGCAGCGCCAGGACAAGCCCAGTACCTACAGTAGAGCACCCACTGGGACATCACTCGATGAAGAACAGCTGTTATACCTACCAGCTTCCACAAGGTTTCACCAAACCCATAAGAGTATTAACTGTTATATGAAAAGGACACATTTTGGATATTTATGTCTGACAGGTGAAGTTTATACTGTAAATATTAGGCGCTACTGTATAGTAAATTCAGCATGACATATTTTGCTTATGGTATCTCTGACAGTAATATAGAATACTTTTTCAAAAATTAATATTGCTACTTTACCAAATACAGTACCTTATCAGGTGCATTAAGAAGTTCAAGAACATCACGATAATCAAAACCCTCCTCCTCTTGTAAGACAGTCTGTAATTTGCTGTTTCTTAAAACAATGCAAGCCAAGGAATATGCAACTTCAACCTAAATATATATTTTAAATAAAAATACAGATATTATACACTTAACATTTTGCAGAGAAAACCCATAATATATTTTATTTAATAAACAACAAATCAGTTTATATTAGAAAACTAAGTACACAGGTTTAAAGTAAAACTCACTTCAACAAAATATAATTGAGGCAAAGACATACTAGGCATCCCCCCAAAAATCAATATTTATATGGATAATGAAAACATCCACAGCTGCATTAAACATTACAAAACATATAATTTATAAGGGATATAAAACTTCATGCTTCATGGCATAAAGGTGTTATAAAAAAAAATCCCATATGGTCAGATTATTTCTTTATTGTCCTCTTCAGAGTGTCTTGCATATTCCTTTAAAGCATACTGTTCATTGCTAGAAATTGGATACTAGACAGACCTCTGATCTGTACCAGAATATGAAGTTCTGTGTTTCTGACTTCAAATCATGATTAGCTTGTATCTTGAAGTGAGAACTGATTGCCCTTGAAATGTATATACCATAAGCAAACCCACTAGTTATTCTTATATACCATCTACTATTCTTATATGTAACTTATTCTTATACCATTTTTATACGCTAGGTAGCTAAAGTGACACCAATATTTAAAAAGGGCTCCAGAGGCGATCCTGGCAATTACAGACCGGTAAGTGTAACTTCAGTACCGGGCAAATTAGTCGAAACAACAGTAAAGAATAAAATTGTCAGGCACGTAGAAGAACATAATTTGTTGGACAAAAGTCAACATGGTTTCTGTAAAGGGAAGTCATATCTTACTAATCTCTTTGGGTATGTCTACACTACCCTCCTAGTTCGAACTAGGAGGATAATGTAGGCATACCGCACTTGCAAATGAAGCCCGGGATTTGAATTTCCCGGGCTTCATTTGCATAAGCGGGGAGCCACCATTACGTAGAAGAACATAATTTGTTGGACAAAAGTCAACATGGTTTCTGTAAAGGGAAGTCATATCTTACTAATCTCTTTGGGTATGTCTACACTACCCTCCTAGTTCGAACTAGGAGGATAATGTAGGCATACCGCACTTGCAAATGAAGCCCGGGATTTGAATTTCCCGGGCTTCATTTGCATAAGCGGGGAGCCACCATTTTTAAATCCCCGCTGCT